TTTTTTGGTGGAATTTGGGGATTTTTGTGTCATCGAAATTCAGTTTTTTCCCGGATTTTTTTGTGGGGTTTTTTGGGAAAAATGAGGGGGAAAAATGGGGAAAAAATTGGGAAAAATTTGGGGAAAAATCAGGAAAAAAATTGGGGAAAATAAAGGAAAAAATGGGGAAAAATTTGGGATAAATTGGGGAAAAATCAGGAAAAAAATTGGGGAAAAGAAAGAAAAAAATGGGAAAAAATTTGGGATAAATTTAGGGAAAAAAAGGGAAAATTTGGGGAAAAATCAGGAAAAAAATTGGGGAAAATAAAGGAAAAAATGGGAAAAAATATGGGATAAATTTAGGGAAAAAAGGGAAAAATTGGGGAAAAATCAGGAAAAAAATTGGGGAAAATAAAGAAAAAAATGGGAAAAAATTTGGGATAAATTTGTGGAAAATTCCCCCCGGGAACGGAAATTCCGCAGATCCTAAAAAAAAATCCAACCTCAGCATCAACATTCCCAAATTATTTTGGGGTGCTCGAAATTCCATGGATTTTCCCGTTTTTTTCCCGGAAATTCCCGGTTTTTTGGTGGTTTTTTGGTGGAATTCGGGGGATTTTTGCGTCATGAAAATTCAGTTTTTTCCTGGATTTTTTGTGGGGTTTTTTGGGAAAAATGAGGGGGAAAATGGGGAAAAAATTGGGGAATAAATTGGGAAAAATTGGGGAAAAATCAGGAAAAAAATTGGGGGAAATAAAGAAAAAATGGGAAAAAATATGGGATAAATTGAGGGAAAAAAAGGGAAAAATTGGGGAAAAATCAGGAAAAAAATTGGAAAAAAATAGGCAAAAATATGAGAAAGATGAAGAAAAAAAATAGAGAAAAATCAGGAAAAAAATGGAAAAAAATTAGAGAAAAATCAGGAAAAAAATTGGGGGAAATAAAGGAAAAAATGGGAAAAAATTTGGGATAAATTTAGGGAAAAAAGGGAAAAATTGGGGAAAAATCAGGAAAAAAATTGGAAAAAAATTGGGGAAAATAAAGAAAAAAATGGGAAAAAATTTGGGATAAATTTAGGGAAAAAAAGGGAAAAATTGGGGAAAAATCAGGAAAAAAATAGGAAAAAAATAGGGAAAAATACGAGAAAGATGAAGAAAAAAATAGAGGAAAAATCAGGAAAAAATGGGAAAAAATTGGGGAAAAATCAGGAAAAAAATTGGGGGAAATAAAGAAAAAAATGGGAAAAAATTTGGGATAAATTGAGGGAAAAAAGGGAAAAATTGGGGAAAAATCAGGAAAAATATTGGGGAAAATAAAGAAAAAAATGGGAAAAAATTTGGGATAAATTGAGGGAAAAAAAGGGAAAAATTGGGGAAAAATCAGGAAAAAAATTGGAAAAAAATAGGCAAAAATATGAGAAAGATGAAGAAAAAAAATAGAGAAAAATCAGGAAAAAAATGGAAAAAAATTAGAGAAAAATCAGGAAAAAAATTGGGGGAAATAAAGGAAAAAATGGGAAAAAATTTGGGATAAATTTAGGGAAAAAAGGGAAAAATTGGGGAAAAATCAGGAAAAAAATTGGAAAAAAATTGGGGAAAATAAAGAAAAAAATGGGAAAAAATTTGGGATAAATTTAGGGAAAAAAAGGGAAAAATTGGGGAAAAATCAGGAAAAAAATAGGAAAAAAATAGGGAAAAATACGAGAAAGATGAAGAAAAAAATAGAGGAAAAATCAGGAAAAAATGGGAAAAAATTGGGGAAAAATCAGGAAAAAAATTGGGGGAAATAAAGGAAAAAATGGGAAAAAATTTGGGATAAATTGAGGGAAAAAAGGGAAAAATTGGGGAAAATCAGAAAAAAATTGGAAAAAAAGAAAAAAATAAAGAAAAAAATGGGAAAAAATTTGGGATAAATTTAGGGAAAAAAGGGAAAAATTCAGGGAAAATCAGGAAAAAAATTGGGGGAAATAAAGAACAAAATGGGAAAAAATTTGGGATAAATTGAGGGATAAAAAGGGAAAAATTGGGGAAAAATCAGGAAAAAAATGGGAAAAAAATAGGGAAAAATACGAGAAAGATGAAGAAAAAAAATAGAGAAAAATCAGGAAAAAAATGGAAAAAAATTGGGGAAAAATCAGGAAAAAAATTGGGGGAAATAAAGGAAAAAATGGGAAAAAATTTGGGATAAATTGAGGGAAAAAAAGGGAAAAATTGGGGAAAAATCAGGAAAAAATTGGGGGAAATAAAGAAAAAAATGGGAAAAAATTTGGGATAAATTTAGGGAAAAATTGGGGAAAAATTTGGGAAAAATCAGGAAAAAAATTGGAAAAAAATAGGGAAAAATACGAGAAAGATGAAGAAAAAAATAGGGAAAAATCAGGAAAAAAAGGGAAAAATTGGGGAAAAATCAGGAAAAAAATTGGGGGAAATAAAGAAAAAAATGGGAAAAAATTTGGGATAAATTGAGGGAAAAAAAGGGAAAAATTTGGGAAAAAAGTGGGGAAAAAATGGGGAAAAAATTAAGAAAAATAAGGAAAAACTTGTGAAAAAAGGGGAAAAAATGAGGGAAAAATGAGGGAAAAGTGGGAAAAAATTGGGGAAAATTGAAGAAAAAGTTGGAAAAAAATTGGGGGAAAATTGGGTTAAAATGGGGAAAAAAATGAGGGAAAATGGGGAAAAAATGAAGCAAAAATTGGGAAAAAAAGAGGAAAAAAAATTGGGAAAAAAGGAGGGATAAAATTGGGCAAAAAGGAAAAAAATTGGGAAAAAAGCAGGAAAAAAATTGGGAAAAAAGGAAAAAATAGGGAAAAAAGGAGGAAAAAAATTGGGAAAAAATGAGGGAAAAATAGGGAAAAAATTGGGAAAAAAAGAGGAAAAAAATTGGGAAGAAAGAGGAAAAAAATTTGGAAAAAAGGAGGAAAAAATGAGAAAAAAAGGAGGAAAAAAATTGGGAAAAAACAGAGAAAAAAGTGGGGAAAAATGAGGAAAAAATGGGAAAAAAAAGAGAAAAAATTGGGAAAAAAAGAGGAAAAAAATTGGGAAAATAGGAGGAAAAAATGAGGAAAAAAGGAAAAAAATTGGGAAAAAATGAGGGAAAAATAGGGAAAAATGAGGAAAAAATTGGGAAAAAAAGAGGAAAAAATTGGGAAAAAAGGAGGAAAAAATGAGGAAAAAAATTGGGAGAAAAGGAAAAAAATTAGGAAAAAAGGAGGAAAAAAACTGATAAAAAACAGAAGAAAAAGTGGGGAAAAATGAGGAAAAAATGGGAAAAAACAGAGAAAAAATTGGAAAAAAAAAGAGGAAAAAAATGGGGAAAAAAGGAGGAAAAAAGGAGGGAAAAAATTTAGAAAAAAAGAGGAAAAAAGGAGGAAAAAAATTGGGAAAAAATGAGGGAAAAATAGGGAAAAATGAGGAAAAAAGAGGAAAAAAATTGGAAAAAAATTGGGAAAAAAAGAGGGGAAAAAAAAGAGGAAAAAAATTGGAAAAAAATTGGGAAAAAAAGAGGGGAAAATGAGGAAAAAAGGAAAAAAATTGGGAAAAAAGGAGGGAAAAATAGGGAAAAAATTGGGAAAAAAGGAGGAAAAAATGGGGAAAAAATTGGGAAAAAAAGAGGAAAAAAATTGGGAGAAAAGGAAAAAAATTGGGAAAAAAGGAGGAAAAAACTGGGAAAAAAGGAGGAAAAAAATTGAGAAAAAACACAGAAAAAAGTGGAGAAAAATGAGGAA